TATACATATATATCCGTATATCTGTGTGTATATATGTATAGAGCTATATGCATATATAAATGGTAACTAAATTAAAAATCTTGAAACATTTGGCAGTCGAGGACCAACAGCAACAAAAATCAAAACAAATTAAGAATTAAACAGAAACTTCTAAAGTTATTGCCATACTTTCTTGAATCTTTTTGTTGTTGTTGCTATTGGAACTGATTTTSATTTTCTAGATATATATAAGTATATACTCATATATATCGTATGTATGTGTATGGCGCTCTTTTGTGTGTGATGCTTGGCAACTTGGCTTGGCCAAGAAAGTCACTGTCTCCGTTTCCATTTCTATCACTATATCTATTTCCCTCTCCGTCCTTGTCTGTGTCTATTTCCATCTCTATCCATGTTGTGTGTGCTTGAGTGTATGTGTGTGTGTGTGTGTGTGATTGTGCTAGAGTGGATTTGGTATTGGTATCATTTAGTTACCGCTGCTCTACCATAACTGTCACAAACTACAGCGCTGGCTCCTTGACCAGCTGCTGCTGCTGCTGCTCGAGTCCTTCATCTGTTGCCTCCTCGCCAGCTGCCGGCGATCCATTCGAACTGGAGGGTGTCTGTTGTGCATATTTGCAGGAGGCTGTAAGACATTTACAGCCGGCGCCGCCACGCTGACTGCTGCGCTGTTCGGCGCGCCAGAACTTCTCGCCATAATCGTAGCTAGTCAAATGGAACGAAAATGTAAATAATAAGTGCAAAGCGGATGTATAATGGTTACCAACCAGATCTCCTCGCCGGATTCGATGTCGCGACAGGCGAAGAAGGCAATCTTTGGAAAGCGATAGTCCTGATGCTCATAGAAAACGCGCACGGGCAATATGTTTGGCTCGCACGAATGATTGAAGAAACGACTTATATTGCCGTAATAGTTGGCGTCGATGCAATGCCCGTTGTCCAGATCAAAGTAGTAGCTGTCATCGGTCCTCCGATCTGCCTCATGGGCCGTCAGTATTTCGCCCGTGTAGCTGGCCACAAAAGTGCCCTTGGGCACATTGACCAAGGCACGAACGCCCCAGCCCTTTGTCGGCTCCTCGCACTCGACAATCTGCAGCGGAACCCGAATGCCATTCTGCACGACGCGATTCTTGCAGGACAGCTGCAAAAGGAGAGAGCGAGAGGGAGAGACATAACAGAATGAGATTTTTGCATTTTGGCCACTTTGACATTCACTCTACCTGATTGCAGCCGCAGACATCGTTGCATTCAAATATCACTGCCGGATCCTCGTAGTTAAAGTCACAATTCAGGCGACCCTCCGCCGTATACCAGTTCTGTGAGGACGCCCCATTGCATTGGCACTGATCACTGCTGCAGCTGTCCAGGCACGAGCAGATGCGCATCTGTGAGACGCGCCTATCGATTTGCACCGAGTTCTGCAGTATGATGCAATTGACAATGTACTTAAAGTCGGGCCACATCAAAGCATCGGCCTCGTCCTCATGCTCGGACATGGTCAGCTCGTTGCGCACCGCTTGTATGGGACGAAGTTCGCGCCCGTTCGAGGCATCTGCGCAGACGACCCGAGTGCGTAGTCCCAGCGGACGAAAGCTGCGCATCTGCATGTTGAAGCCAACGGTGCGACCGCATTCGGAGTCCTCGTTCGGTATGCAATCATAGGGCAGCTGCTCCGCCTTATTCTTAATCATCAGATCGGCACCGTTCGCTATCAAAGCGATGCACATCCGTGTCACCGAATGACGACACGCAATGTGACTGCAAGAGAGATGCACAATGAATTAGGAATCGAGCTGCAATCGCATGTTTCTTTCCACTCACAGCGGCGTATCGCCCTCCACATTCTGCACATTGCAATCGGCGCCCGCCTGCAGCAGCACCGTTATCGTCTCCAGTCCATCATAGCGCAATGTGGACCAGTGCAGCACCGTGTTGTTGTCATTGTCGCAAATGTTCGGATCGGCGCCATGATTAAGCAGCAGACTGTGAAGAGGGGAAACAACATAAGTGATAAATTTACATAAATTCTAAAGCAATTCAACAAGTAACAGACTGTTATCTTGCTGCTGTTAAGTTGATATGTCCAGCTGTTAACATAATGCACAGCTGTTAATATCGTGCCTATTGATATCTGTGATTATATAAATTAGCTCGATTTAGGGATTTGCTCGCACCTAACAATATCCTTGTGGCCCAGCTCAGCTGCCCAGACCATGGCTGTCCAGCCACCCTCATCTTGGGCATTGATGAAGGCCAGAAAGTCGGTAATATTACGCGAACCGCGATAACTATCCACAATCAATTGGGCAGCGTCCAGGTTGCCCAGCTTGGCAGCAATGTGCAGACTGGTCATGCCGTCGGGACCCTGCAAAATGGAAAGATACGAAAGTTATACGAAAGCCCCATAGAGTTCGCTGCGTGGAGGACTCACCTTGATAGCCACATCGGCGCCGCACTGCAGGAACAGGTTGAGCATATCGCATTTGTCGTTCATCACAGCACACATCAAGGCCGTGCGGAGCTCGCTATCGACAATGTTGACAAAGCCCTGGGAGCTGGCGCCCTTGCACAGCAGCAGATAGGCCATTTGCAGGGTGCCCGAGTGGGCGACCAGGTGCAGGCAGGTACCATTCAGAAATTCACGCATGCGCGTCATTACATTGTAGTCGGCGGCTGTCGAACAAGATAGATTAGACCGATTCGAATATAAATAGTATGATCTATCGTATGATCTACCCAATATCTCGGCCACGCGCTCCAGATCGTCGTTCTGCACGGCGTAGTACATGTCCCGGGAATTGAATTCGGTGGTGACGCGTCCACTGGACGACACAATCCGATCGCGCAGCACCACATTCATCACAGACTCCGGTATGAGCTGCTCAAAGTTGATCACATTCAAGGCCTGCCCGGAGGCACTGCCGCCATTCGCCTTGCCTCGCGTGCCATTCGATTTGGCACTGGCCGCCTTGCCGCGCGCAGCACCGCCTGTTGCTGGCTTGGCAGAGCCACCGCCGGCGCCAGTCGCCGACTTCGATCCAGCACCCGCTGCATTACCGAATTGCGTCAAATGCGATGAGGTGGTCAACTTGGCGGGCTTTCTACAGGGTGAAGTGAAGAGAGAGTTAAATTAATCTGCCATGGAATCGGGCGGAGTCGAGGTGAGCTTACATTTTAGCCTTCTGTGCGGGCAGAAAGACGGGCAATGTTTGGCATTTCATGGTCACCGTGGAGGTGCGCTCAGGCGTGTCCAAGCCGCAGTGCGGACACTTGAGCACCAGCAGCGGACTCATGAAGTTGCCTGGATTTGTCGACTGCTGCTGCTGGGCATCGTATGGGCTGTTGAGTATGAAGCGCTGTGCGCAGTCCGGATGAAAGAAGTGCTGCTGCTTGCACAGCACGAATTTGCCCTGCAATCAGAGTTGMGATTGATTAGTGTGACTGATTGATTGATTGACTAGCTGTTGCATGTTACCTGAGTGCAGAAGATGCCACAGCCGGCACAGCAGTTGTGCGCCTGCAGGCGCTTCTTGTGCTCGTCGCAGAGTATCATGTAGCCGACGCGCTGGCTGGGACGCAGCAGATTGTGCACCTCGGCGGACAGCTCGTTGCAGCAGCCGATCTTCTGCTCGTCAATGTTGTCGATGGCACAGCAGAAGGACGCATCCGGCGCATTGCGCGCGTAGTACTGCGAGCTGCGCTGGCACAGGCAAATGAATTTGACGCCAGCTGCCGTAGGAGACCCTGAACTGACAGCGGATGCAGCTGCTGCGGCGGCGGCTGCCGAGGTGCTGGCTATGGCATCGCTGGCATCATTCGATGCCAGAATGGCGCTGTTCAACGTCTGCAGCTGGCCGTGCTCCAATGTGGTTGCAGCTGCTCCAGCCGTTGCCGCTGCTGCTGTTGCTGTTGCTGTGGCATTGTTGCCACGMGCTCCTATGCGACGCGTCAGCTTGGACGACGCAGCAGGCGTTGCGGGCGGTGGCGGCGGTGGCAGCTGCAGCGACTGCTTGGCACCAGCTGTTGGTGGATTGGCGGCCTCCTTGGTGGCGTTGCGCAGGCGCAGCGTGACACTCGGCTTGCCCACCTGGACGCGCGTGGTGGGCACGAACTCCTCGTTGTCCGTGTTGGAGCTGTCGTTGTCGCTGGCCTCCTCGCTGTTGTTGCGCTTCAGGCCCAAGTGCTTGAGGTGCTTCTCCTTCTGCTTGGCTAGCTTGCGCAGCTGCTTCTTGTTCAGCTTGCGCTCCTCGGGCGAGCGATTCGCGTTCAGCTTGGCCGACTTGATGTCGCTCAAAAACTGGTCCAGATCGGGACTGGGACGAACGCGACTCTGTGCCCGCAGCGCCGCATCCGAATTGTCAATGTCGCGCTGCGTCTTGAAGAGACGCTTCTTGACCGCATTCGTGCCAGTCGGATGCTGATCCAGTCCGCTGCCGCCGTCCGACTTATCGCTCTTCTGCCTCGACGTTGACGAATTGGAGCTGTAGCCCTGCAGCGGCGTCTCGAACTGCAGCCCGCCGTCTGCCTCCGCCGCAGCCGTCGAAGTCGCCTCCCACTGGGTCAGCCGTTCGATATGCTTCGTCTCGAACTCGCAGCGCAGCTCCTCGTTCTCCAGTATCTTCGTGGTGGGCTTGATGCGTCGCTTCGAGCGCTTGGGCAGCTGCTGCTGCTCCGCGCCGCTCGAGGACAGCGCCGATGCAGCACGCTTGCCGCCATTGGACAGCGCCAGCGTGGCGGCAGCAGAGATGTTTGTGGCATGAGCATTTCCGTTGCCGCTGCTGTTGCTGCTGCCGGCGCCGGCTGCAGCTTGTGGCACGCTCTGTCCGCTGACATTGGGCGGCACTGGTATTTTGGCTTTGCGTCCGCGCTTCTTGGGCGTCTTCTCGTCCAACACCACAGCCATGGATAGTTGGTCAACAGCTGCTGCTGCTCCGCCCGCAGCACCCGCGCCTGCTCCAGCTCCTGCTCCTGCCTGGTGTATGGGCAGCTCACTGGCCGGCAGTGGCTCCGATTTGATCTCCTCGGCCCAGGCCTGTGCCTGATCCACACGATTGCCCAGCCGTACGCTGCGTCGCATACGTTTGCCATCGCCAGTGGACGCCGCTGCCTCCTCCTCCTGCTGCTCGGTCTTGATGCTCACCGTGGGCACGTCTGGCATCAGCGGATCTTCCTCGTGCAACTTGCGTTTGCGTCCCACTTTGCGCTCCACTGCAGCGGCCTCCTCTTGCAGTGGAGCCTCCTCCAGCGGCAGCTCTGCCTCGGGCTTGATCTTCTTGGCACGTCCACGACCGCGCTTAGGAGGGGGCGGCGGTGCAGCATTTGCGCTGATGCTGCTGCTGGCCTCGCCCTCATTGAGACTTGGCAACTTTTCAGGCTCCTTCTTCACATCACTGGAAGTTTCCTCCTCTTGTTCCGGCTCATGCTCTTGCTGCTCGGGCCCATGCTCCAGTTCCTGCGGCTCCTGCTCTTCAGTCGCCAAGGGTGTTGGCGTCGTTGTGGGCGTGTCGGTGGGCCGCGGCGTACGACGCAAGCGACGCGTGCTGGGCGGAATCGGTTGTCCCTGTAGACCAAAGACCATGAAGATAACAGATTAGAGCAAGTGGCAAATGTTAAAAACAACAGGTGCTAATTGGTCTACCGCACACACACACACACACACACACACGCGCACACACAGATACACTCACGCCATCCATACGTAAAGTTACAACTTTCCTTGTATTTCATTTGGTTGATCCAATTCTTGCATTCGATATTCTTCAGAGCAAATATATTTATTTTAAAAAATAAATATATATGAGAAGTGCTCTCGCTCGCCTTCTCTCTCGCACTAAGCATACAGACATATATATGTGAATGATTATATGAGGTCCTGAATCGTGCACACATCTAAGCAGGCTCTTTTCTTCCATTCGGCTAGTCGAGTGCGGTTGCTGTTGGCAACGGTTCTTACAAAACACTGCCAGCACCTGCCAGAGGAGGAGAGTTGGCTTGGGGGTGGACAACCCCCGGCGCTGGCAATGGCTACCTGCAGCCCCTAATCCCAGGCCCCCGTGATATCTCGGATGCTTGCTCATTAAGGCAAACGCAAAAGTCTCTTCAAATTTCATGTTACAAATTACAGTCGGCTCTCATTAAGTGGCACCGATATTTCGATTAAACTTCTCGACTGATTAATTGATTATTGCCTTTTTATTTATTGGAAAACTGAAACAAAATATTCTTTTTCTTGCTGCAATTTAATATATTTGTGTTTCGTATATTGAAATCTTAAATGATGTTTATTGTCATAGGCCATGTTCGAAATAAAACGCCGCTTAAAAATGGCTTTCGATTGGGCATCGCAGTAATAAACAAACGAGTTTAAAAGCCAGGCAAACGACTTCTATATTAAAAAAAAAAAAAAACACACACACACACTCAATTTTAAAGACCACATTTAAGCGTAGTTTTAACACCTGACTTTTTTTGGGGGGAAGGGGGGGGGGTATTACATGCATGTACATTCGTCTGAATATTTTAAATATATTTCAAAGTTTTTTTTACCTTAACTTTGAAATATATTTAGCTAATTGATAAAGTGATCGATAATTCGATGATATTGCAATTTATCGAAATCTTAATTGTTTAGTAAATATGAATGTACATGTATTTATTTAACTAATGTTTTTATCTAGCACTCAACATAATCTTATTTCTTTTTATATATATTTTATCATTTGTTTATAAAATTGAATTGCTCAAATACAAGCAACATCAATTTAGTCATGCCTGATTTCTTATCATCTGCCGAAACTCTTGGCAAAATTGTGGCATATAGCCAACTCACTGGAGTATATAAAAATGCTGTTTATTTAAGCACAAAGATGTATGTGTTAATTTATTCATTTTTGCATATATGTACATATGTACATATACATGTATGTAAATAATCTGTGATACAATAAGAATTTGATTAAATAATCTTTTGAATATAATTTATCATATTATTGATTTTTTTCTGCTCTTAAATGTTTTGCAGAAAGCACAGTAATGAAGGACTAGCTGCACGTAAGTACATACATACATATAAATGCGCTCACATATATATACATACACACATACATAACTGTTCTTTCGATCATCAATGGCCACTAAAATACTATGGGAAGTCCCGTCCTTTTTTGGTTCCCCCTCCTTTTCCCCATCGTTTTAAAAAAAACGAGTTGTTAGTGCTGTCCAATTCTGTTCAATTGTCGGCTATCGGCGCAGAGTAAAACGGAAAGTGAATCAAACAAACTACAACATGAAAAGAATTCGAGACTTTACTAATACACACGCACACACGCACACACTCGCATTTTCACTCACACAAAACAGTCACATACGTATATGCATGCAAAAGCACACGCGCATAAAAACGAATACACTTACGTTTTTATCAGCATTAACTTGTGCTTGCGCTGTTGTTATTGTTGTTACTGTTGTTATTGTTGCTATTGGCACACCAATGTCGACGCTGTCAGCAGCAGCAGCAGCAGCAGTACCAGCTGCCGCATTCGTATCTGTTGCGTCAGCAGCGGCGTCAATAATGTCGGCGATGTTGTTGCTGCTGTTGTCGGCAGCAGAGCTGACAACAAGTGGAGCGACAGGCACTGGGGATGCCGTTACCGTTGCCGAAGATGCTGCGACTGTAGCCGATGTGACCTCGGCTATTGCTTCTGTTGTTACAGCTGCCGCTGCCGTTAGCGCTGCTGCTGTTGCAGCAGTGTCTGAGCTTACTTCATGCTGCGCAGTCAATGTTTGTTCCTGCAGCGATTGTGGCAACGGCTGTTGTTGTTGTTTCTTCTCCGAAAGCTCTTTTTCTTCCTCTTTGGCTGTTGCATTTGTGGTTTCCGTTTCAGTCTCAGTCTTAATGCCTTCACCAGATGAGGCTGCTGCTTCTGCTGCTGTTGTTGTTGTTGTTGTTGATACGGCTTCAGCTGCAGCGAAAATTTGCGCAGACGACGTTGCCAACGCAGCCTCAGTCGCTGTTGTTGTTGTAGTTGTTGTTGCGTTCTCTACAGCGCTTTTGCACGCTTCCTGCTCCAATTTGACTGCCGGTGCTTCTTCTTTTTCAATATTGTCTTTGCTTTTACCTGACTCGGCTGCGCGCTCAGCAACGCTAGCGCCAACGTCAACATTAACATCTATATTATTACCGTTTTCACTGTCGGCTGCTGCTGCTGGCGTTTCGTTAGGCGGCGACGTCGCTGCGGCTGCTTTTGATTCCGTCGCGTCTGCCTCTGCCGACGTCACTCTGTCTGTTATTTCTGCATGGGCGACGCCGCTGTCGTTGTTTTCGTTGACGTCGACGTCAGCGTTAGCGTCAGCGTCAGCGTCCACGTCGCTGGCCTGACTTTGGCTTTGGCTCTGGCCTTGAGGTTGCTGCTGGGCGCCGTCCGCAGTTTCCGTCTCGCATTTGACGGCCGCATCGAGCAACTTTGTCGGCTCTGGTGGCTGCTGCTGCTGCGCTGCCTCCTGTTGCTTCTCGTGCGTTTCGTCGCTTTTGATGCTCTGTTTTTTGTCCTTATCCTTGCAGGCAAATTGATTGTTTGCCAAATTGCGCCACTTTACGGTCTTATCCTCGGCCAGGTCCAGATTGAGCAGCGTACCGCCCTCGGCGGTGCTAGTGGCGCAGTCGCTATTAAATGTGCTCGACATGCTGTTCAACAGCTCTGCGACGTCCGTCATTTTTTCTTTGTTTTTGTTTTTTTAATTTTGATTTTGGTTTTTTACTTATTGTTTCTGCGCTTTTTAATTTGTTATTTGATTTTAATTTTATTTTGATTTGCAGTTAATTTAAGCTACGCTTGTGCTGCAGATGCGCTGCTGCTGCAAATAAGCGCGTGCATAAAAAATATGGAATCAATACTTTGGTATTCACCACGACACACGGCATCGATACCAGAACGGAACATAGCAGAGAAGGGAGGGGGGCAAATAGAGGAGGGCTAAGCTAATGACGATAAGATTTCGACTCGCAGCAATTTATTTAACTCTGCATTTTCAAACTAAATACGAAATGAAAAGGCAGTGGCAGTGGCAGCGGCAGCGGCAGCGGCAGCTAATGCCAGCGACGACAATAAGCAGCAAGCGCTGCTGAGAAAGAGTGCAGAGCAATAACAAAAACAATATTGTAGACAACCCACTTGTCTGCCGACAGGAGGCGCCTTTCTATGAGCAGGGGCAGCGAGCCCACCTTTCGTAGGCAAGGGGACACGCACACCGAGGCACAAAACGCTCGCACATATACAGACGCACGAAGCAGCGGCGCGGTTGGAGTTGACGTTGACACCATAAGACGACGTCGACTGCGACTGCGGCTGCGAAAGCGTCGCTTCAACTTTGAATTAATTTTATAAATATAAAGCAAATAATTTCAATTGCAATTTACTGTTTTCACGTAATTATAATTTATTAATTATTTAGCCACGATAAAAGCGAAAACGTAAAAAAAAACCTCTGCTTGCCTTCAACCGATTCTGATTAGCTCACAACATGCTGTTTTTTTTTTTTTCATTTTTTTTTTGTTGTATGAATATGGCCAGCTTTATTGTTGTTTTACTTTTCGTCTTGCTCTTCGTCTTCTTGGTGCTGGCTGCTAAACGACCGTGGTGGCTGCTCTGCCGCTGCTCTGCAACTACTAGTGCTGCTGCTGCTATAGCAGTTAAACATAGTTGTATTTGTATTTGTAATTACTTATAATTGTTGATTTTGATTTTTCTTTTCAGCTGAGTTTTTTTTAATGATTCCTCCCAAAAGCTAGATGCAAATTGTGTACTGTGTTGCTTTCTGATAGCTGATATTTAAATTCGTCATTTTCACACCCAGACACGATGCGAAGTCAATTTACAGTCACACAAAACACTGCACATTTCTGCAGTTTTCGATTTGTACAATATAGGTAATTATGATTTAACTAATATTTGTTGTTACAAAAGAAAATAAAGAGAAACACACACACGCACGCACGCACACTTTGTTTTAGGTCCGTCCGCCGTTATACGCCGCCAGCACATACTCTGTGCGTAACTCTCGGCGAACCGTCTTCGTCGTTCGTTCCTCGCACGCTCTCACTGCTGCTGTTGTTTGTCTGTTGATAGCTATGTACATTTACATGTTTCTGGTATTACGTTTTTTGGTATTTCTATTTGGTATTTCGGCATTGAATTATTGCCCATAGAATAAAGATTGCCATAAATACCCTTTAATGGGTACAAATGCATCTATTCTTTTCGAAATTGCAATTAATGGCATAGCTTTGAACTTTTACGCATGCAAATATTTATTCATGCAAGAAGTATCGAGGACATACTGAAATTTATTTGAGCAGTTCGTAGTCTACATAGGTATGCAAAACAATAATATTTTTAATAATAATTTATATATAGCGTTAGACTTACATTCGTTTTTTATATATTCCGCATTATTGTTGAATAATTTTTAAAAGCGCGCAGTTGATGATATGTTCATTTCAGTATTTTACATGGTTTTCAAATGCGTTCACTCTGATGTCTGGTATTTTTTTAGCAGTTCCTTTTGGGTTGCTAACAGTTCTGGTAACTTTAATAACAGGTTACCTTTTTGGAACCAATCGTTGCAGTTATTTTTTCTTTTTTTTAAACACAATGTAAGTGTCATAAAATATCAATAATAATTGAATATTATAATTTCAAATGAAAATAATATATGCTACTAATATAATACTGATGAATAGTCATTATTTACGGCATATAACTCATCACTGTTATTCATACATATGTAGCTTATAAATTTTAAAATGTCATTTTACAGTTATAACTGCTAAAAAGAATACAGAACGAACTGTCAGTTCATTCCGGCAGAACAAGCTTAGTGTCACTTTAACGGCAAATTTTCACTACTTGACTGTTGAGCGCGTAAAGCAATATTCGCATAAAAAAAAGTAAGTGGATGAATATTTCAGAAAATATTCAAATACATTTATATGTGTGCTTTTCTGCATTTATAGTGTTTGAAATGTGGGATTATTACTTTTGGAAATTGGTGCTCATTACCAGCAGCTTGATTGCTGCCTTCGAGGTAATATGGTTAGCCTACCAGTTGGTGTGCAAGTGGCGCAAGGATCGCATGCAAGAGGTGCTCATATTCAATGAGCTGGGCGCCGTATGTGCCAAAGAACACCTCAGGTTTAGCCTAATAGGTCGAGTGTTCTATTGTACAAATGAGAATTGCTCTCAGAAATACGTGAACCGCATTATCGACAATTTGAATAACGCCAAATTCAGCATTGACCTGGCCATGTATTCCATCGGCTCCATCGGGATGGTGTCCGCTTTGATGAACGCCTTGCTCCGCAATGTTGTCGTACGTATTATTGTCAGTCAACGGAACGCAACACTCTCCTGTGTGCTCCTTGATCTCGTTGACCGTGGCGCCCAACTGCGCTGCCAGGATTGCGATAACTTTATGCAGCACAAGTTCTGTGTGATCGATGAGCAAGGGCGGGTCAATCGCATTAGGAATAAGAAGCGCAAGAACGGACCAAAGACCCACGGCGTGCTCATGAATGGCTCCCTCAACTGGACAGATAGCGGCTTCTGTGGCAACTGGGAAAATGTCGTCATCACAACCAATGCAGAAGTAGTCCAAGCATTCCAAGAAGAATTCGATCGCATGTGGATTGCGTTCTCCACTAAAACTAAATTCTATTGACTCCATGACAATAAGCATAGAGACTGCAAAACAGATACACATAGTTATTGCTAGTTGATATATGTCATATACAACATAGCGATAATTATTAAATACGGAGAAAATTTATTAAAAAAAAAATATATAAAAA